AATACAGAGTCATAATACCAAAAAGAATTGGTTGATGTTTAACCATTTCAGAAGGTAGCATATGATCAGAAACCGATGGTATTGAAAGAAGTCCAACCTGCGCTGAAAGCATTGGTGAAAAACAAGGCACTAGGAATTGATGGAATACCGATTAAGATGTTTTAACAAATGGTTGCAGTGCTGGAAGTGCTTACTTGTCTATGCCAAGAAATTAGAAAGACAGCTACTTGGCCACCTGACTGGAAGAGATTCATATTCATGCCTATCCCAAGGAAAAGTGATCCAACCGAATGCAGAAATTGTCAAACAATATCATTAAAATCAATCACATGCAAGTAAAATTTTGCTGAAGATTATTCAAAAGCGGCTGTAGCAGTACATCGACAGGAAACTGCCAGAAATCGAAGCTGGATTCAGAAGAGGATGTGGAACAAGGGATATCATTGCTGATGTCAGATGGTTCCTGGCTAAAAGCAGAGAATACCAGAAAGACGTTTACCTGTGTTTTATTGACTATGCACAGGCATTCAACTGTGTGGATCATAACAAATTATGGATAACATTGCGAAGAATGGGAATTCCAGAACACTTAATTGTGCTCATGAGGAACCTGTACTTAGACCAAAAGGCAATTGTTCGAACAGAACAAGGGGATACCGTGTGGTTTAAAATCAGGAAAGGTATGCATCAGGGTTGTATCCTTTCACCAAACTTACTCAGGTTGTATGCTGAGCAAATAATCCAAGAAGCTGGACTATATGAAGAAGAATGAGGCATTGGGATTGGAGGAAGACTCATTAACAACCTGCATTATGCAGATGACACAACCTTGCTTGCTGAAAATGTAGAGGACTTGAAGCACTTACTGATGAAGATCAAAGGCCACAACCTTCAGTATGGATTACACCTCCACATAAAGAAAACAGAAATCCTCACAACTGGACCAATAATCAACATGTTATAAATGGAGAAAAGATTGAAGTTGTCAAAGATTTCATTTTACTTGGATCCACAATCACCCCCATAGAAGCAGCAGTCAAGAAATCAAAAGGCACATTGCATTGGGCAAATCTACTGCAAAAGACCTCTTTAAAGTGTTAAAAAGCAAAGGTGTCACCTTGAAGAGTAAAGTGTGCCTGACCTAAGCCATAGTGTTTTCAGTTGCCTCATATGCATGTGAAAGCTGGACAGTGAATAAGGAAGACCAAAGAAGAATTGATGCCTTTGAATTGTGGTGTTGGCGAAGAATATTGAATATACGATGGACTGCCAGAAGAATGAACAAATCTGTCTTGTAAAAAGTACAGCCAGAACGTTCCTTAGAAGGACTACGTCTTATATACTTTGGGAATGTTAACAGGAGGGATCCGTCCCTGGAGAAGGGCATCATGCTTGGTAAAGTAGAGGGTCAGTGAAAAAGAAGACCCTGGATGAGATGGATTGACACAGTGGCTGCAACAATGGGCTCAAGCATAATGACTGTGAGGGTGGCATAGGACCGGGCAGTGTTTCTTTTTGTTGTACATAGGGTTGCTATGAGTTGGAACCCATTTGACAGCACCTGACAACAACAGTAAAACATACGTAGTACCATAGTCTGAAAATTTTCAGTTGGTTTCATTAGTCTGACCTCCATAGGAGAAATTTCCTCTTCTTCATGTTTTGTTTTTGGTTGGTCTTTCTTCTTTTGTGATTTTGTGTGTGTTACTATTTTTGGACCATTTTTTTCTTTAAATTTTGTATTCTGGTTTTTGTGAGAAAATTTTCTGATTGAGCTCCCTGGTGGCACAGTGGCCAAGTGCCTGGCCGCCAGCCAAAAGACTGGGGCCCACACCCACCAGCTGCTCCACAGGAAATAGAAATGGCACCTCTACTCCACCCCACAGGGTCTCTATGAGTCGGAATCGACCCAGCGTCAGTGGGCCTGATAACTTCTCTGGAGAACCACTAGAGGGCACTCTTATCCTTAGGTTTTTTTTTTTTCCTCCCAGTGCTGATTCAGGAGTTTTGGATGCTTGATCTCTAGAATTCAATACACATGCGCAGGAAGGGGTTGGTTTAGCTGGTCTCAGACGCTGTTGTAAGTGGTGGGGCTCAACTTTGCTGTGGTGAAGGTGGGGAGCTCTTTATGTTTTTACCTCGTGGGCATCCCTGCACAGGCTCTCCCACAGTGTTCCGCAGTGGACAGGGAAGTAGCTGTTGCCGTCTGTGTTGCCCATTCGTCCTAAGTATTCCCCTTGCCCTGATGCCCTTGCAGTTTTTCTTGTCCTAGTGCTTGTCTGTCTTGGGCCTGAGTGAGATTCAACAGCAGTCTCTCGCAGTGCCAGTCTCCCTTCACCCCCTACCCAACTGTGTGGCCCATCAACTCCCATGGCCAGTCTATGCCTTCTTAAAAATCGGGCTACAGCTTCCTCTGATTAGCTTTCTGTGTTCCCTGTTTGTAGTGTTGCCCAGCCCTGTCCCAAAATGGCTGTGATGAGCGAGTACTCCAGAAGTTAGTGGGTAGGTTCTCCCAGTGTTATGGATTGAATTGTGTCCCCCAAAATGTGTGTCAGCTTAGCTAGGCCATGATGCCCAGTATTGTGTGATTGACTACCATTTTGTCATCTAATATGGTTTTCCTATGTGTTGTAAATTCTACCTCTATGATGTTGGTAAGGTAGGATTAGTGGCAGTTTTGTTGATGAGGCAGGACTAAATCTACAAGGTTAGGTTGTTTTAAGCCAATCTTTTTTGAGATATAAGAGAGAAGTGAGCAGAGAGACATGGGAACCTCATACCACCAAGAAAGTAGTGCTAGGAGAATAACTCATCCTTTGGACCCGGGGTCCCTGTGCTGAGAAGCTCCTAGTCCAGAGGAAGATGGATAAGAAGGACCTTCCTCCAGAGCCAACAGAGAGAGAAAACCTTCCCCTGGAGCTGACGCTCTGAATTTGGACTTCTACCCTATGAGACTGTGAGAGAATAAACTTCTGTATGTTGAAGCCATCCACTTGTGATATTTCTGTTATAGCAGCACTAGATAACTAAGACACCCAGCTTCTGTGACATCCTTGCTCCTCTCCCCCGCTTCTGGATTCACCCTGACTCTTCAACACCTCAGCTGCTGTCAGGATTTCTGAGATCTCAGTCTGTGCTTGTTTTATTCATTGTTCAGTGGGTTAGTTGCTGGGGGAATAAATAGGAGTGTCCACTCGCTTCATCATCTTGCTCCACCCTACCAAACTGTCTTCTAAAGCGATTGTTCCATTTTGCATTCTCACCAGCATTGAGTGAGGGTTCCTGCTGCTCCACATCCTCGTCAGCATTTGGCGTTGTCAGTGTTTTTGGATTATAGCCATTCTAACAGGTGGCGCAGTGGTTAAGTATTTGGCTGCTAACTAAAAGGTCAGCAGTTTGAATCCACCAGCCTCTCCTTGGAAACCCTATGGGGTAGTTCTACTCTGTCCCATAGGGTCGCTATGAGTCAGAATCGACTCAGTGGCAATGGTTTTTTTTTTTTTTTTAAACAGGTGTGTAGTGGCATCTCATTGTTTTGATGTGCAATTCTCTAATGACATGATCTTCAGCATTTTTCATATGCTTATTTGCCATCTTTATATCTTCTTTGGTGAGGTGACTGTTCATATCTTTTAACTATTTCATGATTGGGTTGTTAGTTTTCTTGTTGTTGAGTTTTCAGAGTTCTTTGTGTATCTTGGATTCCAAGTCCTTTATCAGATACGTGTTTTGCAAATATTTTCTCCCAGTCTGTGACTTGTCTTTCCTTTCTCTAAGCAGTGTCTTGTGAAGAGCAGAAGTTTGTAATTTTAATGAAGTCCAACTTACCATTATTTTCTTATAGATTGTGTTTTGGACGTATCTTAAGTCATCCCCAAGCGCAAGGTCAGCTAGATTGTCTTCTGTTATCTTTTAGAAGTTATATAGTTTTGTGCCTTACACTTAGTTTTGTGATCCATTTTGAGTTAATTTTTTTGTGAAACATGTTAAGTTCTGTGTCTTGATTCATTTTTTTGCATGTGGATGTTCAGTTGTTCCAGCACCATTTGCTGAAAAGACTATCCGTTCTCCATTCCATCCATTTGCTTGTTCCTTTGTCAGAGACTAGTTTGGCTGTGTTTGTGTATTTCTGGACTCTATTCTGTCTCACTGATCTGTTTGTTCCTTTGACAATACCATAGTGGCAAGATCACTGTAGCTTTATAGTAGGTCTGGCAGTTGAGTAGTGTCAGTCCTGCAACTCTATACATGTAATTTTTGTGTGTAAGTTGGAGACATTATGTCTCTTAACCCTTAAATATTTCAGTATATACTTTCTAAGAGCAAAGACCTTTTCTTAAACATAGCCACAGTATAATTATATCAGGAAAGTTAACATTGATATAATACTATTAATTAATCCTCAGTCCATATTCAGACTTTACCAGTTGTTTTAGTAATACCCTTTTATAGCTGTTTTAAAATTCTTTGCCCAGGAGTCAATCCAGGATCACACATTGCATTTAGTTGTCATGTCTCTTTGTTCTTCATTCTGGAACAGGTCTGCTCAGTCTTTCATTGCCTTAGTTTGCTCTTGACGTTTTTGAAGAATACTTATGAATTATTTTGTAGAGTGTCCCTCAATCTGAGTTTGTCTGTTTTCTCCTTATGAGATTCAGGGTATGCGTTTTTAAAAAGAATACCATAGCAGTGATTTTGTGTCCCTTTCAGTGCATCATATCAGGGAGGTACACGCTCAGATATGTTTTTTTAGAGGTGTTGATAATGAGGCCCAAAGAGCACAGCAAAGGACCTTAGTTGGATAAGAGAGCACCAAGAGTAGGGGTGGGAGAGAGGATGGGAATATATTGAATGATAGTTTTTAGGTCATTTAAACACTATTAAGAATTCAAAGAAGGGAGAAATCAGTGTAGAGAGAGAAATTGTTTTGCTAAATCAATGAGGAAAATACTTGAAAGAGAAGCTAGATTTTACTGTATCTTTCCCATTAACCATTTTAGAATAGAACATTTGGATTCAGAAGACCTGGCCACATTTCCCGAAGTGGTGTTTGGGTTCTTGTCTCCAGCCATGATCGTCATCACCACGCCAAATTCTGAATTCAATCCCCTGTTTCCAGCAGTGACTTTAAGAGATTCCGATCACAAATTTGAGTGGAACAGAATGCAGTTTCAGACCTGGTGAGCTTGTTTGTTTGTTTGTGGATCCTAATAGAGTTTAATTGAATAATAGTCATATTAACTGGTCTTCTTTGTAGGTGTATGGATATTATCCTATCGCTGACAGCATTGTACTTCAGGATAGATCTTGAAATGTTCTTTTTGACGATGAACATGACACCATTCCTCTTCGTCATTCCTGGCATAGTAGACCGTATGATTGTCTGATTCAAAATAGCAAATACCAGTCCATTTCAGCTCACTAATGCCTAGGATATCGATGTTTATGTATTCCATTTCATTTTTGATGATTTCCAATTTTCCTAGATTCATACTTCGTACATCCCATGTTCTGATTATTAATGGATGTTTGCAGTTGTTTCTTCTCATTTTGAGTCATGCCACATCAGCAGATGAAGGTCCCAAAAGCTTGACTCCATCCACGTCATTAAAGCCAACTCAACTTTGAGGAGGCAGCCCTTCCCCAGTCGTCTTTTGAGTGCCTTTCAACCTGAGGGGTTCATCTTCCAGCACTATTATCAGATAGTGTTCCGCTGGTATTCATAAGGTTTTCACTGGCCAATTTTTTTAGAAGTAGACTGTCAGGTCCTTCTTATGACTTTGAGTATATCCCACCTGAATTTAGAAACTATCTCAAGAATAGATTTAACGCATTGAACACTAATGACCGAAGACCAGACGAGTTGTGGAATGACATCGAGGACATCATACATGAAGAAAGCAAGATGTCATTAAAAAGACAGGAAAGAAAAGAAAAAGACCAAAATGGATGTCAGAAAAGACTCTGAAAGTTACTCTTGAACATAGAGTAGCTAAAGCGAAAGGGAGAAATGATGAAGTAAGAGAGCTGAATAGAAGATTTCAAAGGGTGGCTTAAGAAGACAAAGTACTATAATGAAATGTGCAAAGACCTGGAGACAGAGAACCAAAAAGGAAGAACATGCTTGGCATTTTTCAAGCTGAAAGAACTGAAGAAAAAATTCAAGCCTCATGTTGCAATATTGAAGGATTCTGTGGGGGAAAATATTAAATGATGCAGGAAGCATCAAAAGAAGATGGAAGGAACACAGAGTCATTATACCAAAAAGAATTGGTCAACATTTCAACCATTTCAGGAGATAGCATATGATCAAGAACTGATGGTACCGAAGGAAGAGGTCCAAGCTGCACTGAAGGCACTGGTGAAAAACAAGGCTCCAGGAATTAATGAATACCAACTGAGATGTTTCAACAAACAGTTGCAGTGCTGGAAGTGCTCCATCGTCTGTGTCAAGAAATTTGGAAGACAGCTACCTGGGCAGCTGACTGGAAGAGATTCATATTTGTACCCTTTCCAAAGAAGGTGATCCAACAGAATGTGGAGATTATTGAACAATATCATTAATATCACATACAAGTAAAATTTTGCTGAAGATAATTCAAAAGTGGCTGCAGCAGTACATCCACAGGGAACTGCCAGAAATTCAAACTGGATTCAGAAGAGGATGTGGAACAAGGGATATCATTGCTGATGTCGGATGATCTTGGCTGAAAGCTGAGAATACCAGAAAGATCTTTACTTGTGTTTTATTCGCTACGTGCAAAGGCATTCAATTGTGTGGATTATAACAAATTATGAATAACGTTGCACAGAATGAGAATTCCAGAACACTTAATTGTGCTCATGAGGAACCTGTACTTAGACCAAAAGGCAGTCGTTTGAACAGAACAAGGGGATACTGTGAGGTTTAAAGTCAGGAAAGGTGCGCATCAGGGTTGTATACTTTCACCATACTTCTTCAGTCTGTATGCTGAGCAAATAATCTGAGAAGCTGGACTATATGAAGAACCGGCATCAGGACTGAAGGAGGACTCATAAACAATCTTTGATATGCAAATGACAAAACCTTGCTTGCTGAAAGTGAAGAGGACTTATTGATGAAGATCAAAGACCACAGCCTTCAGTACATATTACACTTCCACTTAAAACAGAAATCCTTACAACTGGACCAATAAGCAGTATGATGATAAACAGAGAAAAGATTGAAGTTGTCAAGGATTTCATTTTACTTGGATCCACAATCAACGAGCACCTATGGAAGCAGCAGTCAAGAAATCAAATGAGCCCCCGCCGCCAACGCTGCTGCCAGGGACACTCGCCTCCCTCCCGCTGGGGGCCAGGCCGGGGAGCGGCGGGGTCTGTGCGCAGGGCCAAGAAGCGGCGGGACACGGGCCAGGATGCCTCCCGCTCACCCCTGTTGGGCTCTGAGGTGTGGTTGGGCCCTTCTAAGCGGCTTCCCAGGCTGGCTCTATTTTGTGCAGGAACTAGCTTGGGGGAGGGGATGGGGCTGGCCCGGAACCTCGACTCGGACCCCGCCGAGGCCCAGCCGAAGGAACCTCTTTGGTACCGGCAGCTGCGCGGAGGCTCCCGTGGGGCACCCCCTTCGTGCTCTCCCCCCCGCTTCGTCTGCCCGCGGCATCCCGGGCGCTGTGCGGCAGGCGGAGGCTTAGGGCGGGGTCCGGGGCCTGGCCGGTCCGCGGCCGGGCGAGTCGGGGGATGCGAGAGGGGTTGTCTGCCCTGTCCACGCGGTACTAACCGGTACTAACCGCGTGGCCGGACTGGGTTGTGGGGCCGGGCCCGCCCCTTCCACCTTCGTGGGGAGGACCCGAGGTCCCCGGGAGGAATGGATTTGGTTTACACGTAGAGAATGCAGCCACCTGGCAGCTTGCGGTTCCTGCACTTGCCCCGAAGGTGGGGAGGAAGCCTTTCAGATTGGACTAAGGTCAAAATTGGCAAAGCCATCTTTGTAGAGGTGTTCTTAAGCACCACTGACAACACGGTTCTGACAGTATTTCATGACAATGGATGGTGACAGTTTACAGCAGATGCTTCTTGACTAGGAATTTCTGCAGACTGTATTGGAGGAAGTCATTATGTTATACAGCCTTATGATGAGGCTAAGGACAGCATGAATGATCATGAAGACACAAATGGTTCAAAGGAAAGTTGCAGAGAAGAAGATATGTATCTTCCAATTACAAATGTGGCAAGGATAATGAAAAATGCTGTACCTCAAACAGGAAAGATTGCAAAAGAGACCAAAGAATGTGTTCAAGGATGTGTGAGTTCATCAGCTTTATAACATCTGAAGCAAGTGAAAGATGCCATGAAGAGAAACTGAAGACAATCAATGGAGATCTTTTTGCTGTCTCTACATTGGGCTTTGACGGGTAGAACCTCTGAAATTATATCTTCAGAAATTCAGAGAGGCTATGAAAGGAGAGAAAGGAATCTGTGGAGCGGCCACAGCTACAGATAGACTAAGTGAAGAACTTACAGAGGAGCCATTTACTAACCAGTCACCAGCTGATTTAATAACTGCAGATGGTCAACAACAAAATGTTATTGTTTACACAACATCATATCAACAGATTTTGGGTGTTCAACAAATTCAGTTTTCATGCTCTGAAGAAATGATGGAATGGAGAGTATTGAGAGACAGAACAGGCTGTACGATTCCGAAAGAGAGACATTAGGAAGAAGTGACTGATGAAGAGATGTCTCTTTGTATATCAAATAGCTGTAATGTAGCTTCCTGATACTTGACTAATTGAGGTGTTAATTCTGACTTGAGAATCTGTTTCATGAATGATTTTAAAGAAAAAATTGGATTTTAAAGGTATTAAAATATTTTTGTTTTGTAAAAAAAAGAAATCAAATGATTCATTGCATTGGGCATATCTGCTGCAAAAGACTCTTTAAAGCGTTAAAAAGCAAAGATGTCACTTTAAGGACTAAGGTGAGCCTGACCCAAGCCATGGTGTTTTCAATTGCCCCATGTGTGTGTGAAAGCTGGACAGTGAATAAGGAAGACCGAAGAAGAATTGATGCCTTTGGAAGAAGTACAGCCAGAATGCTCATTAGAAGCAAGGATGGTGAGACTTTGTGTCACATACTTTGGACACCAGTCCCTGGAGAAGGACATCATGCTTGGTAGAGGGTCAGCGAAAAAGGGGAAGACCCTCGATGAGATGGATTGACACAGTGGCTGCAACAATGGGCTTGAGCATAACAACAATTGTGAGGATGGCACAGGACCTCGCAGTGTTTTGTTCTGTTGCATATAGGGTCACTGTGAGACAGAATCGACTCGATGGCACCTAACAACAACAACAACAGAGTTTAAAATCCTAGGAAGTAAATCTTGATGTTTATTTTATTACCTGAATTATTTATTTCTTAATTTATTTCAGTAAAATTGATTTCCCAAGTACTACTTTGCTTGTAATTCTTCTTTCTTCTATAATTTGCTTCCTGCTCATATCACAAAAGAATCTTTATATTTGAGTAAAATAGAAATTTGTTCCCCTAGTCAGGTCTCACAGGCAAGCAAGTGTGGAAAGGGTGTGTGGGCACCAGCTAATTTTTACATGAAAGCATCTGGAGTGTTGGTGTGGAGACAGGAAACAAAACAGGGAAGGTGCAGGGCTGTGAGGGGAAGCTTCATCCTTTGTTCGGGGGTTTCCACAGGAGTGCGACAGATGATTGAGTTTTTGACTTAATTCCAAACCCAAGTAGGTAGTTCAGGTCGTAGCCTTTGTGGTCTCCTTATCCATCCCCTCTCCCTGCCCTATAACTTTCCTTTTTCTCCACCATATTCTTATATTTACTTGGAGAACTGACACTATGCCATTACCTCAGTGCTCCTCACAGAAGTAATGAAATAAAGCAAACTCGGTGATGAAGCACTATGGGTGGTGTGGGAATTTACAACCTAGGAGTTCATTGTATTTTTTTGTTGATGTTCTACTGACTGGCAGTTGTTTCTTATTTAATATCAGCTCTATGTTTAGACAAATGGTTTGTCTTCTTGTGTTGACTTCAGGGCTTTGGATGTGGCAAACCTCTATGATTACTCGGTGGAGTTTACTGGCGTGGGGGACCCACCTGCCGGAGCTGAGAAGGTTGGGTACTGTACACAGATAGGAATCTTCAGGAAGAACATGGCAAAGGCAGCTGAGTTGTGTGTCCCCGAGGAGCATGGTGAACACGTTTATAAAGTCGTGAGTGTTTGTGATAGCTATTGGGGCAAGAAGTACATTTGTTAGTATGTACTTCTTATCAGAGTTGCCAGAATAGAGATAAATGTAAATTATCTTTTTTTTTTTTGAGGTTGACCCTAGGAGAATCCTTCAGCTCCATGACTGCTGTTGCAGTTGGTCTTAACAGCAGCCTGTGAGACTGCCTGGCCTTTTGCCATATCTCAAAGCATATTGCAGGGAATGATCTGCTCGAGTTTTCTTAGAAGACCTCCAAGCTGGTTTGTGCCAGCAGCCTCCCTTTTTGCAATCTGTTAGGATTATCAGCAGGAAAGAGGAAAGCCAGCAGCAGTTCTCCCCAGCTTGGTTCAGGAAATGACTTAGAACTGAGCCTCCAAGCTTCTCAAACCCTTTTGGTTTGAGGATGTGGGGTGAAGAAGAAACACATTTCTCCTTTTAATGAAAGGAACTTTTTCTTTTTAATCTTTTCTCTAACATCAAGTGGGAATATTGGGTTAGTGTAATTTGGTTGAAGTCTTGCTGGGAGTTACATGTTAGAGTTTCATTAGAATTTTAAAAGCAAATCAGATGGTTAGTGTCTATGTCAATAGTTTGACTCCCATTAATGTTGAAGCTTTTGATTAGTAGGGTTTGATGTATATTCAATATGTACGTACAGCTCTTCATGTGGCAAAAAAATGGACTGTTTATTCTGAAGTTTTCTATGTTCTAAGTTTTTTTGTTTTTCCCCTTCAGGTTTTTACTGCCACATACCCAAGTCTGCAGCAGAAAAAGTACCGCCAATATGCAGTGGTTAATGAAGTGATTTCCCAAGTCTATGATATGAGGAGGAATCTTCTGGAAAGTCTGAAGCTGCAGGATGACAAGGACTTTGCAGGTGTGCCGGAAGACACTGGCACCTCAGAGGCCCCTTGTCAGTGCTTCCAGCCAGTCCTCACACAGTTAAATGCTAACATGGAGAAGACTCCCAAGCCCTTCTGTGTTGGAAATGTGTTTTATGTACCCCTGGAAAGACTCTTCTCATTGCCCAAAGTCCAACATTTATGTATTAACGTAGAGATGCTGAAAACTCTAATTGCCGACGCAGTGATGTTGAACAGCGATGGTTCCGCAGTGATGGTCGATATACATGATGAGGGTAGTGATGACTGAGCATCCTTGTTTCTTGAAATTCAAGATCTTAGCAATAGTTGGACTCATTTAGAATTAATACTATTTTTTTGTGTAGTCATAATTCAGGCAACTTTCTTTTAAAGAGCTAAGTTTTGATAGAAAAGGCCATCTTCCAGGCCAGTGGACAAATATGTTTGACTTAACAGCCAGACTGCCTGCTGTAAACCTGAAAAAGATATTAGGGCTAAACCAAAAATGGTGTGCTTTCCTTTGAAATTAAAATTTTTCTTCCATATTTTCTCAAAAACGAAGAAAAATAGTGGGTGTGGTCATATTTTACAGACTGTTAATTTAGAACTTATCTACCTAACCCAATTTTTTTTTATATGTGCTTTTTTGGGGGTAGGGATAGGGAGTTAGTTCATAATGTGTTCATTACTTGAAGTTTTATGTGATAGGACCATATGCTTAATGTGACATTAAAGATTTAAAAGAAAATCGGATTATCACGTATAGTGTTTACAGCCTGACTCTACATCCTTGGAGTTAAGGTCTAACCTCAGTACTTCTTAGCCTAAAACTGCATACGAAAGAGAAGCACAGGTGTTTGAATGAAGGGTGTAGAAGTTTCCTCATGATATAACCACTGTCTTCTTTTTTGGAGCACCTTGCTCTCCAGGAGCTTATTGGATTAGGGGTGGTAATAGCAATGGGGGAGAGAGAAATACAGCTTTAACCAATGGAGGGAAAACAAAAAGTGGTTCTTTTTGAGGCAGAGGAGTCTACAGGTAAGCAGACCAGGTAAGCACAACCATAGGGACGCATATACCCATCTTGCTGTTCCACCATACTTAGCTTCTCATCTCAGAGACAGAGATGGGGATTTGAGCTTGACCTATCTGTCGCATATTCCATAGTCCACTCAGCAGAGATTTAAAAAAAAAAAGAGAGGGAGGTGGTGGAAACAAACGGTGTCTTCTGGTTGTCTGGTAAGAAGGTTTCCTGAAAGTTGTTACACAACACTACTGCTTACTTTTTTTTCCCTCATTCATAAATTTATACACATACTGTTTTGTGACATTGGTTGTAATCCTCACAATGTTACAGTACTCTTCCGCCGTTCTACCCCAGGTTCCCTATGTCTGTCTGTCCATTTTTCCTATCCCTTCCTGCATTCTTGTCTTACTTTGGGCAGGCGTTGCCCATTTGGTCTCGTATATTTGATTGAACTAAGAAGCATGTTCTTCACATGTGTTATTGTTTGTTTTATAGGCCTGTTTAAACTTTGTCTGAAAGCTGGGCTTCGGGAGTGGTTTCAGTTCTGAGTTAACAGAGTGTCCAGGGGGCCATAGTTTGGGAGGTTCCTTCAGTCTCTGTCAGACCAGTAAGTCTGGTCTTTTTTTGTGAGTTTGTATTTTGTGCTACATCTTTCTCTCGCTCTGTCCAGGACTCTCCGTTTTGATCCCTGTCAGAGTGGTGGTTGGTGGTAGCTAGGCACCATCTAGTTCTTCTGGACTCAGGCTGGTGGAGGTTGTGGTTCATGTGGTCCTTTAGCCCTTTGAGCTAATATTTTCCTTGTCTTTGGTCTTCTTGATTTTCCTTTGCTCTCGATGGGATGGAACAAATAAATGTATCCTAGATGGCTACTGGCAAGCTTTTAAGACCCCCAGATGCTACTCACCAAAGTAGGACGTAAAACATTTTCTTTATGAACTGTGTTATGCCAGTTGACCTATATGTCCTCAAGACTGTGGTCCTCAGCCCCAGCAACTTGGTCCTTCAGAGTGTTTGGATATGTCTAGGAAACTTCCATGACTTTGCCTGGGTCAAGTTGTGCTGACTTCCCCTATATTGTGTGTTTTTCCATTCACCAAAGTTGACACTTGTCTACTATCTAGTTAGTGATTTCCCCTTCCCATCCCTCCCTCCACTCATAACTATCAAAGAATGTTTTTTTCCTGCATGTTAACCTTTTCTTGAGTTTTTATAATAGTGGTCTCACACAATATTTGTCCTTTTGTGATTGACTTATTTCACTCAGCATAATGCTCTCCAGATTCATCCATGTTGTGAGATGTTTCACAGATTCATCATTGTTCTTTATAGTTGCATAGTATTCCATTGTGTGTATATGCCATAATTTTTTTATCCATTCATCTGTTGATGGGCACTTGGGTTCTTTCTATCTTTTTGCTATTGTGAACAGTGCTGCAGTGAATATGAGTGTGTATATGTCCATTCGTGGGATGGCTCTTCTTTCTCTAGGATATATTCTTAGGAGTGGGATTGCTGGATCATATGGTATTTCTATTTCTAGCTTTTTAAGGATATGCCATATTGTTTTCCATAGTGGTTGTACCATTTTACATTCCCACCAACAGTGCATAAGAGTTCCAATCTCCTTGCAACCTTTCCAACATTTATTATTTTCTGTTTTTTTTTTCATTAGTGCCAAGAAGACCAAAGACACTATTATTTTCTGTTTTTTTTCTCATTGTAGTTGTGGTTTGCATTTCTCTAATAACTAATGATCATGAACATTTCCTCATGTGTTGTTAGCTACCTGAATGTCTTCTTTGGTGAAGTGTCTGTTCATATCCTTTGCCCATTTTTTAATTGAGTTATTTGTCTTTTTGTTGTGGTGGTGTTGAAGTATTTTGTAGATTTTAGAGATCAGACCCTTGTCAGATGTGTCGTAGTCTAAATTTTTCCCCAGTCTGTAGGTTCTCTTTTTACTCTTTTGGTGAAGTCTTTGATAAGCATAAGTGTTTAATTTTTAGGAGCTCCCATTTATCTAGTTTCTCTTCTGGTGTTTGTGCGTTGTTACAGTTTATATTCTATTTATGCCATGTATTAGGGCCCCTAGCATTGTCTATGTTTTTTCTTCCATGATCTTTATCATTTTAGGTTTCATGTTTAGGTCTTTGATCCATTTGGAGTTAGTTTTTATGTATGTTTTGAGTTACGGTTCCTGCTTCCTTTTTTTACAGATGTACATCCAGTTATGCCAGCACAGTTTGTTAAAGAGACTGTCTTTCCCCATTTAACGGACTTTGGCCCTTTGTCAAACATCAGTTGCTCATAGATGGATAGATTTACATGTGGGTTCTGGATTCTGTTCCATTCTTTTATGTGTCTGTTGTTGGATCAGTACCAGGCTGTTTTGACTACCATAGCTGTATAATAGGTTCTAAGATCAGGTAGTGTGAGGCCTCCCATTTAGTTGTTCTTCAGTAATGCTTTACTTATCCAGGGCCTCTTCCTTTTCCATATAAAGTTGATGATTTTTTTCTCCATCTCATTAAAGAATACTGTTGGTATTTGGATTAGGACTGCATTATATCTATAGATTGCTTTGGGTAGTATTGACGTTTTCACAATGTTGAGTCTTCTATCCATGAGCATGGTAAATTTTTCCATTTATGTAGGTCTCTTTTGGTTTCTTGCAGTAGTGTTTTGTAGGTTTCTTTGTATAGGTCTTTTATGTCCCTGGTTAGATTTATTCCTAAGTATTTTATCTTTTGGGGGGCTGTTGTAAATGGTATTGATTTGCTGATTGCCTTTTCGAAGTTCTCTTTGTTGGTGTAGAGGAATCCAACTGGTTTTTGTATGTTACTCATGTATCCTGCTACTTTGCTGAAATCTTCTATTAGTACCAGTAACTTTCTTGTGGATTCTTTGGGGTTTTCTATATACAGGGTCATATCATCTGTGAATAGGGTTAGTTTTACCTTTTTCCTACCAATTTGGATACGCATTATTTCTTTTTCTTGCCTTATTGCTCTAGCTAGGACTTCCAGCATGATGTTGAATAAGAGTGGCATTAAAGCGTATCCTTGTCTGGTTGCCATTCTCATGGGGAATGCTTTCAGTCTGTCTCCATTGAGAATGATGTTGGCTGTTGATTTTATAGAAATGACCTTTATTGCATCAAGGATTTTCCCTTCTATTCCTATTTTGCTGAGAGTTTTTATCAGGGATGGGTGTTAGAATTTGTCAAATGCCTTTTCTGCATCGACTGAGATGATTATGTGATTCTTTTGTTTTATTTATGTTGTGGATTATGTTTATTGATTTTATTTATTTTTTTATTGATTTTTATTGATTTATTGAACCATCCTTACATACCTGGTATGAATCCCACTTGGTCATGATATATTATTTTTTTGATATGCTGTTGAATTCTATTGGCTAGAATTTTGTTGAAAATTTCTGTGTCTATATTCATGAAGGATATTGGTGTGCAGTTTTGTTTTTTTTGTGGTATGTTTGCCTTGCTTTGGTATCATGGTTATGCTGGCTTTATAGAATGAATTCAGGAGTATTCCTTCCTTTTTTATGCTCTGAAATAGTTTGAGTTTGGTAGCATTCTCCAGTGAATCTGTCTGGGCCAGGACTATTTTTTTGTTGGGAGTTTTTTTAATTACCTCTTCAATCTCTTCTTTTGTCATGGGTCTGTTTAGTTTTTCTACCTCAGTTTTGGTAGGTAGCGTGTTTCTAGAAATTTGTCTGTTTCCTCTAGGTTTTCAAATTTGTTGGAGTATAGTTTTTCATAGTATTCTGTTATGATCCTTTTTATTTCAGTTGGTCTATGGGACATTGGAAATCCTGGTGGCTTAGTGGTTAAGAGTTCAGCTGCTAACCAAAAGGTGGGCAGTTCGAACCCATCAGGTGCTCCTTGGAAACCCTATAGGCAGTTCTACTCTGTCCTATGTGGTAGCTATGAGTCGGAATCGACTCAATGGCAACAGGTTTGGTTTGGGTTTTTTGGCAGGATATCATCCATCTCATTTCTTATTCAGGTTATTTGCTTCCTTTCCTGTTTTTTTTTTTTTGTCAGTTTGGCCAGTGACTTGTTGATTTTGTCGATCTTTTCAGAAAACCAACTTTTGGTCTTGTTGATTCTTTCTACGTTTTTCTGTTCTGTTTCATTTATTTCTGCTCTAGTCTTTAGTATTTCCTTTCTTCTGGTGGCTGTGGGTTTCTTTTGCTGTTCTCTTTCTATTTCTTTGAGTTGTAGGGTTATTGTTTTGATTTTGGCTTTTTTTGATGCATACATTTACTGCTATAAATTGACCTCTATCCACTGCTTTTGCTGTGTTCCAGAAGTTTTGGTAAGAAATGTTTTCATTCTCATATGATTCTATGAATTTTTTTTATTCCACCCTTGATTTCTTCTATTACCCAGTAGTTTTTAACAAGGTGTTGTTCAATTTCCATATATTTTATTTTTTTCCTTGTTGTTTTTAATATTGATTTCTACTTCTATGGTGTTATCAGAAAAGATGCATTGTATTATTTTGGTGTTTTAGATTTTGCTGAGGCTTGCTTTTTGGCCTAAAATGTGGTCTATTCTGGAGAATGTTCCATGTGCATTGGAAGAGAATGTATACTTTGCTGCTATGGTCTTCTGTATCTTTATTGAATTTCTTTCTAGATGTTCTGTCCTTCACCGAACATGGTATGTTGAAATCACCTACTAGTATTGTGGAACTATTTCTCTATTCAGTGCTGTTAGTTTGTTTTATATATTTTGGA